CACTTGCCTCCAATGACCAGAGAAGGGGCTGGCAAGAACACTCTTTAGTAGCTCCCAGGCTTCTCCACCCTCCTAGCACCTTGACTGATCACCTTAGTCAGGAGTCAGGATGCCTCCCATACCAAGGCCTAATGGGGACTCAAGGGACTATGAGGCTGCTGTCCATCTAAGAGACACCCAAGGTCCAGTAGCTGGTCAGCTTTACAGGATAACACTGCCCTAGGGAAGAAGAAAATGCATAGGAAGCACCTAGCTCTCATCCTCTTTAATCCTGGAGACTGGCAATCCCTGGTCTTCCCAGGACTGAACATGTTCCCCAATCACTCCTCAGGAAGAAGCGATGGTGGAAACTGTGGCTTTACACAGGAGCCAGGCTCAACCATTAGGCAAATCCTTCCATGATTTAAACACCAGGAAAATAAGGTCACAATGGACTAGTGAATTTTTCAGAATTCCCAGATCTCCACATAATGTATGTCTTGGCAGGGATGTTATTTTTTGTGAGTTCCTGGGCTAATATAAAAAGCAAAATATATCTAGCAGAATTGTAACATTTCCTGAGGCAGGAAGAGGGCAGAGAGCAAACATTTACTGAGTGCCTACTTAGAGCTCAATTTCTAAATGCCTTGTTCACTGAACCCTATTATGAACTCCATGATACAGTTTTAAATGAAGCCTCAAAGACTAAACAAGTGTCCTCTAGTTACCATATAAATATAAAAGTATCATGACTTAAACGCTTGTTCACCTGCCTCTAGAGACAATGATTTCTCTACATTTGATTTTTTTTGTTGTTGTTGTTAAAGATTTATTTATTTGTGCATAAAGAACTAGGAGTACAGGCCAGAGGTGCAGGGTCGGTGAAAGGATTCACCAGAGACAGAGCGGGGAGCAGAACAGGCAGATTGATAAAGCACACCGCTGAAGGGAGCAGCAGGCAGGTCAGGAGAGGCCATGTGGTCACCTCCAGGATGGACAGGGTTCGAACACATGCTGAAGTGGCTTTAGCTTCTCAGTGCTGTGCTTTAACCTGCTGCGCCACCAGGGAGGGCCTACATTTGATTTTTATCTAAGCCTGTTTCCTAGATGAGAACACAATCTGGGACTGATGCTGGATTTATTTCCAAAGGAGAGAATCCCCACACTTTGGAGAAACAATGATTAAATATTCAACAGCATAAGATCACACAGAAGGGCCTCGCAATGACACCAGCAGGAGAAAAGCCTCATTAAGACAAACTGGGATAGGGCTTTACCACCTCAGCAGCCCTATGGCCCTGGCGGGTTGCAGTAGGGAAGGGAAGGTGTGGACTGAGGAGCAGAAGGAAGTTGTAGCTGTGCCCAAAAGTCCTGTGGTTTTCCCATGTGGAAACCCTGGGTGGGATATGACAACTTTGTGAGGCTCAGGACCCTGCTCAAGCAGGGTGCAGAAGAAGTTGTACAATGAGCAGGTGTTGCCTGAAGGTTTCTCAGGGCCTGTGAGGACCCTAAACGTTACAAAGAGATTTCACTAGAGGGCAGCCACGATCTCTCCCATCCAGTGTAGCTCATCAGCAGGTGGTAAACATGTTCTCATAATGTAACTACAAGTTACATTGTCAGGTGCAATAAATATTTGCTGAATCTTGTAGTTAAGTAAAAATAAAATAATCTGGAGGAAGTTGCCACAGAAAGAATAGAACTAAATTTCCCTCCTGTACACCAAGCCCCAAGCTCACCTCCTTATTGTATCACTTAGCTCTGGACACCCCAGGGTAGGTGGCACTGTACTGACCTTGAAGATGAGCTGGGCTAGCATCTGCAGTCACAGCTACTCCTAGGGTCTCTACCTGCAAAAGACCTGCACACTGGTCCTTCCCCACAACCTGCCCTGCCAAATGGAAGGTAGTTCACAGTGAGGCCTCACTTGTGAGAGACCAGCCCCCAGCACCAAGGACACTGAACTTTTTTTAAATTTGTTCATCTGCACATGCCCGATTTTCTTTGAGTGGTACTAATAAGAAGCAATAGAAAATGAGTTGTGTAGCTTCTTCATAAAAGTAATTTATTCTATTAAATGAAACCAAGACTAGTTTTAGGATGACTTCAATTAAAATAATGTTAAAAGGATTGTGAAAAGCCAACAAATGAAAATCTTGCTTTCATCTGACTACTTCATGCCTTTTATAACCAACCAATCCCACCATAAAGATGTCTAGTTCTACAGCCATATACCAGAGACATTTTGTGAGGGTGGAGTGGGGAATGGGATCAAAAATGGGGTGTTGGTGAGGGGGAGGGAAGTACACAGGACTATGGTGATGGTACACGGGTGACTCGGTGATGGGAAACCCGTAGGGATTACAATTGAGATGAAAAAAAAATGTACAAAATGATGTGAAAATAAACTGTTATAAAAAAAATTTAAAAAAAAAAAGATGTCTAGTTCTAAAGGTAAGTTAGCACTATCTGCACATTTTAGAGACCGTCTTTCCTTGTTGATTCCAGAATGAAACATGTTGAAACAAGATGTTCTACAGGGAAAAAACAAGACTTTTCTGAGCCACTGAGAAGCATAGAGAACCACTGGTGTAAAGGAGTGATAGAAACAGGATATTAGATGAACTGGAATTGTAGGTGCTGGATAGAGGCCTGGGTTGGAAGCAATGGAAGGACGCAGTAAAATCAAGTAGAAGAGTACTGATGGTTTGCCCATGTCCTTTGGAAATCTTATTTGGAGACTTAGAGGTGAGAGGTACAGCCAGAACAGGTGTTTAACAGGAGCAGCAATGCCTGATCTAAGGTAAGCGGGTAAAAGGAGTGCTAGGAAACAGTTAATGTGATCATCGTGGCAGGGGTGTCATGGAATGAGATTCATGGGTGTGGGATGCACACCAAAGAGACTTAACTCTCACATTCATTCACAGGTTTGAAGAAGACAGTCCTTAAAAAGCTTTCTAACATAAGACACTTCTTACATATGGGAACAGCCCCCACTCCTGTAATTGAAGGTTGCACCTGGGCCCTTCCATTTATCGCCAAAGAGTCCCCATGACTGCATCTTACATCAGTGGTGGTGTTGCCTCACATTTTAAGGAGGTCCTAATACCCCTCCCCCCCAATTCAAAGTGAAAGTAGTATCAGCCACTATATCCACCTGAGTCCTTCTGTGGGGACTACTTCGATGCATCTTTGAAACATCAAATTTTAAATTCTATCACTGAATGTTTAGAGCTCTTATTAAATGTCCCCACTACCTCCTAGGTGGCCAGACTAGCTCATTATATTCTGTGGCTGTCTGTTGAGTATGCCTTGGACTTGGACTTGTCATTGTCTACCTCTACTAGGCTGTGGGCACTGGAAGTCATACTCAGGATAGAGTGCCATTACTAGCAGTGTCAGGACCGCGTGTGTTTCTGTTGATAAATGAACAACTGCTGCTCTATCCTCTTGTCCAGGAGGTTTGGCCCTTCACTGTGAAGTGGAGCAGCTGCAGATATTTATGAAATGGAGTGGGCTGCAGTGGAGATAGAGAGGAGAGTCTTTGCTCATAACTCTAAAGACTGAAGATTTGGATCTCTGAGGCTGTCAGTTCACAGCAAGTTCTCCACCAATGTAGTCCTGTGTCTGCCCCAACAGAGCTCAGAGAAGACCAGAGCTACATGGGCCTATCTTACTCCTTAGCAAGCTGACCAGGCCTGAAGTTGTAGGGGTCCCTGCACAGAGCAACGTACGCCCCAGAGTTCTCCACTAGGCAAAGTGAGCAAGGCAGGAGTTCTGTATGACATAGAGCTCCAGACAACCCGCCACTCCAGTCTCTGACTAAGGGAGGGAAGTCTATATGTCAGTTTCCTGGGAAGCTGCATCAGCCAGATGACAGTCAGCATTAGCATCAGAACACCCTGATGAAAGAAAGGAAATAGGAATTGAATCTCTGAATGAAAAGCAGATTACTCACTGTCAGGCTGCACAATAGAACAAGACACAAATAGCGGCCATGAACAGGCCCTGCCAATGTCACCCCAAATGGTGTGCATGGTATTCTAGCAGCCAGTGCCTATGCTGAGAGGGCTGAGAGGGAGCACGGGAGGGGAAGAGAGAGAGACAGTGAGGCAAAGAGATAGAGAGAAGAAAAAACAGAAAGAAAGGTGGGAGGGAGGGAAAGAGATAGGAGACAGAAAACAGTAAGGAGAGAGACTGAGCCACCAGCTCTAAGTAAATGAAAACCTTTTCTGAGTTTGCTTTGGTTTCAGCATCAGAAAGACAGGCAGGTGAAGGTAAAGTGGGAGCATGTTGATAAATAACTTGGTGCAGACCAAGAACAATCGATGGTTCATGTGTGTAGATGCTCCCAGGCTTCCAGGCCACCCCATCCCAACCAGGGCATTTGTGTGCGTGTGCGTGTGCATGTGGCATGTGAATTATGAAATCAGGATGGACGAATGCTCACAGATGAGAGTGGAGCCTGAGAATCCTGTTGGAAGAGATCATCAAGGCCTAAGCATTGCCTCTGTTCTGGATGCTTTATGACCTCTGTGACCTTCCCCCTCCACCTGCCATCACTCTACAAGGAAAACTCCATTGATAATTACCAGGATCTCTTTGGCAAGACCGACATGGCTCTTGATAGCCCCAAGCTCACGTGCCCATCCCCCTCGCTGTGCTCTGACAGGGCTTGTGCAGCAGTGTCCTCAGAGGGCCCTTCTCCCAAGGTCTATGATCCTAAAAGACTTCACTCCCTGGCAATGGCGTCATCACTCAGATACCACGTTTCAGGTGAATAAGGCCCTGCTGGAGATGCCTGGGAAGCAACACTGTGCACTATCTCATCCGACCAAAGAAACTTGCTCTGGGAGTTGAAACAATCACTCTCCCTAACTTTATGAAGGCACAGGGTAGGTAGAACTAACTAGGAGCCCAGGCTCTACTCTGGCTGGAAAGGGCAGCCTGCATGGCCCATAAGCTCTGCCTCGGGCTCATGGGAGGGAGCTGTTGGAGGTGAAAGGCCTTTGCCAGCTTACCTTGGTGAAGGTCAGACAGTCCTTATCCTGGTCTCTGTCCTTCATCTCAAAATCATAAAGTGCTTTGCCCTGGGGAGGGGCCTGTGGCAATGGCCGCATGCACTGCACATAGCTGGCAGGCAGAAAGCCATGCACACCATGCAGCTCCCCGTGGAACCAGTGGTCATCCACTCTGCGCCGCAGGATGATCACGTCACCCTTGCTGAACTTGAGGTCACCAGGTTCTTTCCCCTCATAGCTGTAGAGGGCTTTGCCACAGGGAAGTTGAGAGAGATTCTGAAAGCAAAATATAACAGCTGGTTACTTGGGGTGGCCTTCCTGCCTCCCAGATACTCTATCAAATATGCACACAGAAAGCCCCAGAGTGAACACCTTTCAAGAGAACGTACAAGGTATCAGAGGAATATGCAAGCTAGCATCTCTGTCTAGTGCAGAGGGTCCCCACACGGATAATTCTGCTTCAAAAAGAGGCTTTGAGTAACTGCCAACACTGTCATAGATCTTCCCCTTAGACTCAGTTTCTCTGGCTGAAAAGCGACTTTGAAACAGGAGATAAGTTATTTTATTTATAGGTGAGGAAATGGAGCCATGGAGCGAGAAGGCAAAATTCACACTCAAGTGGGCTGACTATAATGTTCTTACCCACAACTCTGAACAGTCCTGTACTGGGTGTTATTTCTATTTGCCTACAATTAGAACTTTTTTTTTCCCAACAACTATTATCCATAAAATTGTCTTTAATTCATTTACTAAACAGTCACAAAAACCCAGAAACAGGGTTTTTAAGTTGAGGAGACAGGCCCACACTAATACTGCTTGTCCTTCTCTGTCAGTGGTCTCACAATTTGGCCAACACCCATGATGTTCAGATAAAGAGGGTCAGTCAATCTGTGGAAGACAGAGGCTGTACCCAGGACCTTGGCCCCGTGACCCTAGTTCTCACACGTTCCCAACAGTCAAGATGCCTGACCACAACACAGAACTTTTGAAACAGACAGCAGTGTGATCAAGAAATACTATTTCAAGAGCTTAAAACAGCATCCTCTTCATTTCATATGATGTTCCCATTATCCTGTCAAAGGTTAGCCAATCCATGTAAATGTGATCTGCCATCTTTGGTCTCAAACAGTGACTAGCTCTGGATTCCAAGCAGAATTCTTGGCAATCTTCTGTTCAAAGTACCTTGAAACATGATTTCACATCATATTCTCACTTCCTGGACTCCTTTAACTTAACAAGACCTATTTCAGAAAGAGCAGTGGACACCTGGGTTCCTTTTCTTTATGAGTGGGCGGCACTGCTCAAATGAGTAAGCTGGGCCAAGGCCAATTCTGTGCCAAAGGAAAACCAACAAAAAAGCTCCTGTGTCAATACCCAACAATTTTGTAACAGAAGCCACATTTTCTCACCAAGGCTGCCTATGCCAAGGATTTCTTTAGTATTTGAATCAATCAATAGAGCACAAAAGCCTGAGGCAGTAGTACATGGAAAAGCCTTTGTAGAGGATTTAATAGCATGTCCACAGCTCAGTCACTCTGCATTTATGTTTCATCAATGTCAAATGACAGCAGTTAAGAGAGAACCTGTTGGCAAATTGACAAACAGCTATCACTAGTCAATTAAATGGTAAAACCATAGACCTTTTTTCTTTTAGAACTTGATGAGGAGAAAAAAAAATCACTTTGCTTCCAATAACACCATCCTGACTAATTTTACCATAGGCACAATAGACTGTAAAGGGTCCCATTGCAAAGTGGGGCAAATGGGTAATCTGCAATGCAATTACTGAGATTAGAAAAGATTAGAAGGGCTGTTGGTTGTGGTCCACCAGAATTCCACTGCCACTAGGGCCAGCCAGTTCTCAACCAGGATGTTTTGTCCGCTGGTGCTCATCTGCAAAGTGTGAAGATATTTTTGGTTATCACCACTGGTATGGGGGATGCTATTGGTATCTAATGAGTAGAGGCTGATAACTACTTATGATCCACAAATATCCACCTCATGTCCCTCTGCTTCAACCTGTTTGGTTAAATTTACCAAAAGCAAAAATCAAAAACCACAAAATAGCTTTCTTCTAATTGAACTAAAAGATCTCTAAGACAACTTTAAATGCTGAATCTCACTAAGGAAGTAGTTCACTACTAACTTTGCCTTCCTTATTCAACAGAGCAATCCCTGCCTACTGCCGAGTTCATCATCCCTGCCTCATCATCCCGGAGCCCATTCTGTCGCTCCACATCAGCACTGTCCCTCAGATATTAATGACTCCATCTCTATACACATGTCCATATCAACTGCTAGTACTTCATCATTCCAGCCTCAGTTATCATAAACCTCCACCAATGCCTGGGTTCCAGCAACCCCTGTGAGGCCAGATGTCCACTGCTGCTCTGTTTCTACTGCCCTGTTGCTCACCTGCCTGCAGCCCTGAGGAGCTCCAGAGCATAGCATTAAGGAGACTGAAGTTGGCTTCACCACACCTTGCTGCACCCATGCCATTCAAAGTGGGCAGCATCCTCACTCACAAAGAGCATGTGCCATGGGTACTTCCAGGCCTTTTACTCCCTGCCTTACCTTCTTCCTCACCACCACCACCAGCACCACCACCAGCACCAGCACAACCACCACCAGCACCACCACCAGCACTACCACCAGCACCAGCACCACCACCAGCACCAGCACCACCACCAGCACCACCACCAGCAGCACCAGCACCAGCAGCAGCACCACATTAGCCCCTGTTTAATGAAGGCCCTGAAACAGGACCATAATGTGTTTACCCAGCAACCCCATAATGTGTTTATTACCCAGCAACCCCAGAGCCAAGGAGAGTTTCTGTACGTAGCAGGTGCCCTTTGAAACTTGTTAATTCAAATGTGCACATGTCACTGCTAATAGGGTGGGAAGGGAGGAGCTGGAATGACAGATCTGACTCTGTAACCCCTGTCAACCACCACGCCTCCCACCCCCAATTGACCTAAGGGCCCCTCATGATAAAGGTTCTCCCTGCTCTCGAAAGCAGTTGTCCTCAAGTGCAAACCAGGACAGAAGAGTGTCCTGATGCTTTCTGCAGTAGCAAAGCAGGCACAAAGGTTACCTAGCAGATGGCATACCCCTCACCGTGGCTACATAGGCAGCAAGAAGGTAGGAGCACAAGGTCAGAGAACACATCCCCGCTTCAACCATGCTTGGTCAGGCAGCTAAACTCCGATCTGCTCTTGTTTGGGGCAAGTCCAAGGTCAGAGGAGGGAGGAAGGCCTGACAAAGAGGAATGAGAGAGAAAAGAACTACCCTTTATCACCCCAGTCCAGAACAGCACTTGATGTAGCAACATTGAGAAGGGCACACATTTCCAAGGACAGAAATCCAAAAGTTGGGATGCTAAGAACAGCAGTTTATTCAGACAATAAGAGCAGTTAGAACTTGGCTCTCACTATTAGGAAAAGCTTGGAAGGGGCATCTCTCAGCATGCCCCACATCTTTCATCTTCAAAGCCCGTATAACTAATTATCTGTGACAAGGGCCTACAGGCAGGAGAATACCAGGGAAAGGGTACCAACCAAGAGGATCGCTGAAATTCCAGTCTCTCAACACAGGTCAAAGAAACCATTAAGGGTTCTTTGCAAACTATGCTCATGGCCTTGCTCACATCTTGTATGCTCCCTTTGAAGGAACTGTAGTCAAACACTGCTGTTATATGGGCTCAAGACATTAGGAAAAAGAAATAAAAGGAAGAGAAGAAATACATCTGGGATGCCTACAGGATAATTAACACCAGCCACCCCTTCAAGGCATTAATAATAATTAAAACTTATAATGTCAATTTCATGGCTCATTACTCAGAGATAGCACACAAATCTTACTACAGGCTTAACGTTCTACCCCATGGAGACTTGAGTGCTCATGCATACATAGCGCTGTCTCCATTTTTTATAGGGGTCAAACCAGCAGTACCTTTGACAAATGTGCTGCCATTACCCCATGTACTAGCTGCCAACAGAGCTTTCAGTGGAGCTGGCTTCCAGGCGTCACAGCTAAGACTGGAGCACAGTGCAAGGCAGGGGACAGGAGGATAGGGGCTGGCCTGGGAATGGGTCGCACTTCTTCAGCTTTCCCAACAAGTTGGGGTAAAAAGTACTAATGCACATGTCTTTTAAACTCTGAGAACTTGATCTGCTCTCCCACTTTCCAAGGGGAGCCCTAGACTCTCATCCTTATCTCCCCCAGGACACACAGCCTGTTTTGTTCTATGTTCCATCCCTGATCCTTGAACTGATACAGATTACGTGCTGACAATACCTGTTAAATGAATGAAGGTATGGGCTAGAAAATCAATCTCCTAGGATTTGGGCCTGGGGAAGAGACTCTGGCTGGGACAATTTTCCCTGCACACTATTTTTCCCAGGGTTCAATGTAGCCAAAGATTCTGTTGCAGACAGTGGCTGGGAACATATAAATAGGAGCAATCTCAGTGATAGCTTGGTGAAGAGAAGGGCACACGTTAGAAGGAGCAGCCAGAACAAATCCATGAAGCTGGAGACAGGCATACGCCTGCTTCACTCAACATGATGGAACTGGCAGGTTAGGGAAGCATATCATGTCCAGTCTAAAAAGGGGAGACTGCCTGACAGCCCACAAATCAAACACTGCAGAGTCTATGGCAGTGACAGAGACAGCTAGCCCCCAATATCCACTTGTACCTCTGTGGGAATATTTCAATTTTCAGTTGGGGGTCAAAGTCCCAATTGACCTACAAAATCCCAACGAGGTGAGTCAAACCTAGCTAAAGCAGCTTAGTTTTCCAGCCTCGTATGTGTGTGTGTGAGAGAGAGCATGTGCACAAGCATGTGTGTCTGTGCACTTGAATATGTCCAAATTTTAGCCAATGGAAATACAAATGAAAGATTTGTGCAAATTCTGGATCATGTTTTATAATGTTATTTATAATTCCATTTCACTCTGTTCTGCTCTCAGTCTAGATGTCAGAGGTGGTAGAGGTGAGCTAGTCTTTTCCACACACTCAGAATAAATGGGAAAAATAACCTGAGTCCTTGGATGACCTTGCACAACAGGACAGGACCATGACATCAGAAAAAGGAAACTTAATTTTCTTTGTAGCTTCATGCTTTGGAATCTTCTCTCAGAAGTTAGCTGGTTTCTGAATAGCTCAGGGGCTCTGAGCTATCTACTGCCAAAGAACTTACCTTAGTATCACTGTGGAACCTGTCATTTATACTTTTCCTCTTACAGTGGTCGTTTTAATACAAACACACACAGATTTAGAATTCCTTGGGGAAAAAAATATGGTCTCTTGGCTTATTCCATATTAAATAACTTATTTCACTAGAATGTCCTCATCTTCCAACTGACAAGGTTCACATGTGATGAAGTTGTTAGTATATAACACATTATCCTGGAGATTACAGAGTTCGTTTTTACAACTCATTATATTTCAATTTCCTTCTTCTCTTTCTCTCATTAAAAGCTACCTGTTAGGTCCTGGTTTTGGTTTCTTTCACTCTCATTTTGATGATTTTTTTCATTACCCACCATCATGAACTTTTTCTTCCAAGAATTATAGGACACCACACTATGCCAGGTTCTGCATGAGGCCCCATGCTGCTAGGAAGAGAGAGACATTCCTTTATTGAGAAATCACTTGAAAAATGCAATTAAAAATAAAATACGGCCCTCCCTGGTGGCGCAGCAGGTTAAAGCACTGCACTGAGAAGCTAAAGCCACTTCCGCATGAGTTCGATTCCCGCCTGCCCCGGAGGAGACCACATGGCGTGGCAGACCTCTCCTGACCCGCCCGCTGCTCCCCTCAGCAGTGTACTTCCTCGATCCTGCCTGTTCTGCTCCCCACTCTGTCTCTGGTGAAGTCTCTCACTGCCCCTGAGTTTCTGGCCTGTACCCCAGTTCTGTATGTACAAATAAATAAATCTTTAAAAAAAATAAAATACATAATTTCCCCCAAAATATAGGTGGAATGAGGACATTGCCAGCTGTTAATACTGACATGTGATTATGAAGATATTTGCTAGCTACTGCCAAGATTTGCCTTTGATGCAGTTTCGTGTTTCAGCAAGATTCGGGAAAACTACAAAACAAATGGACTTTTCTTTCTTTCCATTTTTCTTCCTTTTCCTAGACTTTCTCAAGGCCCTTTGGTCAAGTTTGCCTTTTGCCCCATGCTCTTTAATAGTCACTTTGCTAATGGTAGTGGTGTTTACTAGAAGGTGGTCGAGCTGAACCAGTAGGTGAAATGGAATTAAGGAGGGCAACATCTGGAGACCCTGGGCTGGGCTGAGTCAAATATATGTGGAAGTGGGAAGCCTGCTAGGTTCCTCCACATGTTAGGCCATAGCACAAGCCTCATGCGCTATCAGACAAGTTAACCCGATGACCCTCCTTCACCGCTGCCTTGCTCATCACCCCACTTTCTGTGAATCACACGACACTTCTTTCATCAAATTTGCCTCAGTGACTTTCAAGTGCTCCAAAAATATCTGCCTCAGAGAAATGTGAGGTTCCATATGTCTGGGTTGTGTTTTTTTACTTCATGACCAATCCTAGAATGTGAAGGGCAGTGCGCTAAAGCTCATAAAGGAAATCAACAGTAATTCTTTTCTGATAACTATAATAACATAAGAAAAAATAGAATTGTGTGGTTAGAAGTATTATGCCTTGAACTGGTAGTCCCATATTAGGGTACTTAGTAAGTATTTGTGCTTGTTTAGCATGCCTAATTCAGACCCCTAGGACCAACTTTTCATACCTATTTAGAAAGGGGCCTGTTTGAACAATATGCACAGCTGCATAAATATACACTCAAATTGTTTTTCAAACACAATCCATGCACCATGTATCCAAGTTCATCCTGCTGAAGTCTGTGAGGAGAAGGGCAAGGTGACCATCTCTAATATTAGCACAGATGAGGAGGTGGTCCTTGGGACCAAGGCTATTCTGATATTCTGCCATTCTGCCTGTGGTCTTTGTATAAAATTATGTGTGTGTGTGTGTGTATGTATGTATGTATGTATGTGGTCTTTGTATAAAATTATGTGTGTGTATGTGTGTGTGTGTGTATGTATGTATGTATGTATATGTATATATATAAACACAGTCACTCAATCATGCAAAACAGCAGAGGTGAATAGCTGCCAGAGACTAAAAGGGCCACATTCAAGATCCAGCCCTTTACAGAAAGTCTGCTGATCCCTGGAATAGAAAACAGCAAGGGTCACCATGGCATAAGGTCAGTGCTTATGCTTTCCACTCATGGCAGGTCAGGAAGGGAGGCTGAACAACCCCTCTGTCCATAGCATACATCACAGTGAAAAGCAGCACCTGTCTTTCAGGGTCAAAACAGGGGGCTGGGAGCTGGAGGCAGTATCAACTACAGTGGGCCTTGCAGCATGCTTCTTGACAAAGTTTCTTCAACTCTCAAATGCTTTGTTTTCTCATACACGGGGACAATCAAATGTTTCCTTCCATATTTCCTAATTATGTCAA